AAACCTAACCCTAAACCTAACCCTTACCTTAAGTTGAATCGGCTTGCTTTCAAAGCGCTATTTAAAGCGCCCGTCTTTCTCCGCGTTTACTGTTGTCGCCCTGTTGATGACGTCAGTGACGCAGTTTAATCGGGCGCGGCTTAGTCGAGCGTGGTTTTGTCGTGCCACGGAACTATAGGGTTGGAAGGGACCTGTTCTAACATCTAGGCAGCTGCCTTTGGGAAGCTCTTTGCAGTCTGCCTCCTACCCCTATACAGTATTTTATTTATTTATTAGAATTTTATTCCATTGTTATACCCAGAAATATAGTGTTTCTGATCATGCGTACAACACTCTTTGAGTGGGTTATACCATATCTTGTAAAAACCTGGAGTTTACACTTTAATTGGCTTAGACAGATATGGGTACACACAGTCCCTGTTAGATATGGATAGCAATGAGAGATTTATTATTTCTTCTGAGTGCTTAGTGCTCTTCTCAACTATTATGCCTTTTGAGTAGTTCTACCCTCTTATCTAGTAATCCTCACAAATCCCAATAGAACACAAAATAATAGCAAAATTTGGGATGCCGTCACTCTATAATGATGCTGAGTTATTTTGTTTTGTTTGGGGGTTATACAAGACTACAGTATACAGCATCAGAGAACATCCGGATTTCACAACTACTGGGCAATGGGTGGTCTACACAGAGGCTAATGGAAAAAAGGCATCAACTGTCTTTGATGCAGTTATGATCTGCAGTGGCAATTTTACAGAAGTTAATCTGCCCTTAGATTCTTTTCCTGGTGAGTTTTGATCAAATTTGCTAAATACAAATAAGCCAATGTGATTATGGTTCCAGCTATTTTAAAAAAAAACCACAGTCTTATTGTTTTATAATGCCAGGTTGATTCAAAATAAAATAAATAATCCATGATTTGATCACGGGTGAAAAAGCCAAGTACATTCTTGTGGGGGGAAGGACAAAAATGACCTTAAAATAGTACAGGACACATGGCGGGTGACCTCTAGGCTGAACAAACGTAACATGCTGTATGTTGGTCTACTTTTGTGTCTAGTCTAAAACTTCAGTATATATAAAAATCAAGAGCCAAACTGGTTTGTGGGAAAATGCAAAGAGCCCATATCATATGGGTGATCAAATTATTGCACTGGCTGCTTGTTCATTTCCTGGCAAAATGCTGGTTGTAAATACTACAAAACTTTGGTCCAGTTTAGTTTATAGAATGTTTCTTTATATAGGAACTTCCACAGTTGCCGAGAGCAGTGATGATGTTTACCTACAAGGAGGGGTGGGGGCTGATCTGGCATTGACTTAGGTTAAGCCTTCTTGGCTGATACTTCATTTCTGTGGAATGTTTTTCCTGCAGAGTTCAAGGTCCTGATGTTTCCATTAACTTTTTAAAAATGTCCTTAAAATACATTTTGGTTTATAACTGTTGCTTAATTGTTAATTATTCATTTTATTTGCGTAACTTGTGTTCTGGATTTTAATTGTTATTTTAACTATCTAACATCAAGATAGTTGTTATATTATAAACTGCCAAGAGACTTCAGTGGCCAGCTATACACCAACTTAGAATAATAATACAGGCAGTTATCTTATAACTGTTCATTTAGTTACGACAACAACAACAAAAAGTGACTTATGACCATTTTTCACAGTTATGACCTTGCAGCATCCCCTCGATCATGTGATCAAAATTCAGATGCTTGGCAGATGGTTCATATTTATGACCATTGTTGTATCCCAAGGTCATGTGGCCACCTTTTGTGACCTTCTGAGAAGCGAAGTCAATGTGGAAACTACATTGACGTAGCAACCAGATTACTAATATATCAACTGTATTCGGGTCTTTTCCTGTGTAAGATTGAGATTGTCTTGGCAACGTTTCGGCGAGGTCTCACTCGCCATCTTCAGGCTGGTGTTTTCTGCTTCATGTTTGTGTGAGTAAAACGTGGTCAGAGCTGCCGTCTTTCTATAAATCTTGGTGGCGGGGTGTGGAGTGCTGGCTTTGTTTCAGTAAGTGGATTGATTGGCTGTGTGGTTGTATCATGATTGGTAGATTGGTGCTGGCTGTGTGTCCGTTGTTGTTTTGTGTTGTAACGGCCTGGGTGGTGAGTGGGGCTCGTTTGTTGACTAGGGTTGGTTTCCAGATGTCTGGCAGGTGGGAGGTATCATCATGTTTATTCATGTTGTGGGGGCATTTCTCTATTTTGATAGCTTCCATAATTATTCTCTTGTTGAAGTGTTCAGTTTTGGAGATTAAT